TCTCTCTCTCTCTTTCTCTCTGTCTCTTGGTCTCTCTCTCTCTCGGTCTCTCTCTCTGTCTCTCTCTGTCTCTTGGTCTCTCTCTCGGTCTCTCTCTCTGTCTCTTGGTCTCTCTCTCTCTCGGTCTCTCTCTCTGTCTCTTGGTCTCTCTCTCGGTCTCTCTCTCTCTCTCTTGGTCTCTGTCTCTCTCTGTGTCTCTGTCTCTGTGTCTCTGTCTCTGTCTCTCTCTGTCTCTCTCTCTGTCTCTTGGTCTTTCTCTCTCTCGGTCTCTCTCTCTCTCTTTCTCTCTGTCTCTTGGTCTCTCTCTCTGTCTCTCTCTGTCTCTTGGTCTCTCTCTCGGTCTCTCTCTCTCTCTTGGTCTCTGTCTCTCTCTGTGTCTCTGTCTCTGTCTCTCTCTCTCTGTCTCTCGGTCTTTCTCTCTCTCTCGGTCTCTCTCTCTCTCTCTCTCTCTCTCTCTCTCTCTCTCTCTCTCTCTCTCATCAGATGTGAGCTCCCAGCTGGTCTCCAGCCCCAGGCCTGCCTGCCTGCTGCTATGCTTCCTTCCTTGATGGCGGTGGACTCACCTCTGAAACTGTAAGTCAATAAAACCTTTCTTCTATGCATCGCTTTGGTCATGGTGTCTTTCCACAGCAACAGAGCAGTAACTAAGACCCTGTTTTATTAGTTGTTTGAAGACGCTCCCTTTGTGTCATCAATCCTTGGCATTGATCTTCAGTCTCGCCTCCATCGGCTCTGGTCCTATCTTTACATCTCTTTCGTCCTTCTGTGGATTTATTATCTTACCCTTTATTGCTTCTCTTGAATCTCTGCCTCATTTTTCTCTTTCTGACCTTTCTTCTACTCTTGCTCTCTTAATCTTCTAATTTAGGTTCTTAAGAGTTTATATTTTTGTCTGAGCAATTCTCTAACCATATCCATACCTATATTTGTACATTTAAATCTCCAAGTATTAAATACTTTAAAATATACCAAAAAAAGCTGGAAATGAATTTCAAAACCCTATGTGCTTGCTATCGGACTTGGTGATCTTTAATATTTCTTAGGCTGGCACGAGACTAATTTCCAGAATTGATAACTTTATCCTCCAGCACACTTAATATAGAGCCTCTGTCTTCCTTCTTCCCTGCCTCTTTAAATTGAAGATATTTACTAGCGTGCTTTCCAGCTTGGGGCCCAGTGCAGTGATAGCTTCTCTGTGGCTCCTGAGCCCTATGAGCCAGTGGGATCATGGGATAGGGCCAGTGGGAATCACGGGGTAAGCTGCAGGTCTCTTTTGGCTCCCAAGGAAAGAAGTCAACAATTCCCCTTGTTAACTCCTGTAATGCCACGATGATTGATGAATACAGTGTGTCTCCTGCTTGAATGAATGTGGGACTGGCCCCGAGCTCTCTCTAGAACACATGAGCCAAAGTCTAGGTGCCAGTTTCAGAGGTGCAAGTCATGCGGCAATTCACGTATATAGCTGTGAGATGGCACTGTCCCTTGTAGATAACGTGATCATATCTTTAAGGGCTGGGTTTCTAAGGCATCTGCTCCTTGCATCTGTTTGTACTAAAGGGAGTCATGGTTGGTGTGGAAGTGGTGAGATGCCTGCTCTTCTTGCCCAGGAAAGAAATTGGGTCATTTACAAAAATTGCTTTACCAATGAACGGCTCTGAGCCACCCAGCTGCCTGAGAGCAGGGATGATGTTTTGAGCAGTAACGAGGCTGCTTAGAGGCCTGAACCTCAGTGCCTGCTCTGGGTAGAGACCTGAGACCCAGCCCTGCTCTTCCTTTCTCAAAAGCTGAAAGAGGCCTAACAAATCAATCAACCACAACCATGCCCGACTCCTGGGGGGACTGAGAGTGGCCATGCTTTGTTGGGGATGGTGATGGCATGCAGGGATGGGGGGGGGTTGCCTGCCTCTCTACTGAGGAAGTAGAACATCCCGGTCATAGTGGCTCATGGGTGTAACCCCAGTACTTGTGAGGCTGAGGCAGAAGGATTATAGTAAGTTCAACGCCAGCCTTGACTACGTAATGATTTCTGGACTACCCTGGGCTAGAGTGAGATACTGTCTCAAACAAAAACAAAAACTGGGGACCCTGAGTTCTAGCACAGATGTCTGTAATCTTGTCACTAACCCACCTCTCCTGATTGACTCTCATTTAAAGGAACAGAACAAGTTTCTCTGGAAACTTTGAAAACCATCAGTGTTGTCAAAGTAAATCTGCTGGCCTGGCCTGTCACCTAGGTATCCTATCCCTTTAAGAGACAAGTCCTGCCCACTCCCAATCTCCTGCTTCAGGTGAAGGCAAACACATCTCCTGCTTCCTCTCTAGCTCTCTCTCTCAGTTCAGCCTTCCTCTGGAGCAGCAGCTTCTGCCTCGCTCCCTTCCCTCCTTCCCTCCCCCACTTCTTTCTCTTCTTTCTCTCTCTTCTCCCCCCCCCCCCGTTGAAATATGAGCAGCGGGGCTGCGTCCCCAACACCCCGGCCGCTTGGCTAGCTCATGCCCGAAATAACAACACACAAACTGTATTCATTTAACTACTTGACCCATTTCTATCTAGCACCTGCACGACCCCATCTCACATATTAAGTGAAAGCACCCCAAGGTGCGCTTACCGGGAAGATTCTAGCCTCCGTCCATCCTGGTGTCTCTGCTCCAGAGAGCAGAGCTGTTAAGTCCCTCTGGAAGCAGAGCAGAGTCTGACCTCACTTCCTCTTCCGCCCAGCATCCTATTCTGTTTCCTCCTCCCATCTATGTTCTAAGCTATGAGGCCAAGCAGTTGGTTTATTATAATTAACCAATTACCTTCCTCCATCACCCCCCAAATTAACTCTATACCCAAGCTCTCTCTGCATGGCATATCTGTCTGTCTCCCACCCTTCAGGGGACCCAGGCAGCCTTGGGTCACCAGCGACATGAATAATAACAATCAGGTCCTTTTACAGACCCATAATAGAGGAAAA